AAGTATATGGAGAATTTAGTCGACTGGTATGTCGCCTATATGGAAAGATAATCAAGGGGAATGCACTAAAATTTCCATGGACTCAGAGATTTCTTTTCACTGATTTAATTTATTTCACCTAAGATATCTGAAATTGACTAAAGTAATGAACAATTTATCTTACAGGGCATCTAAAGAAACTTTGGTGGACTCAACTTAGAAGAAGTTTACCAAATATTGGAAGAGAAAGTAGCCTTCAAATATATGGAATAGCTTTAAAAATTCAAGCCAGATCAACTCATTAGAGATAATCTAAAGGACTATGATTCTAGAAATTTGATGATCATTACAGATAACTATGAAAATACACTATAGTTCATCCAGGACTATTGCTAACAAGAGGAAAAGTTGTATGAGATCTTTTATGGCAGTGACTTCCCTGACGATTAAAATGAGGAGTATATCTATGAATAGATTAATGAAATTATTTTGCAAATGGAAAGTGGAACCATTTGTGTCTTCTTGAACCTCAAAAACGTTTATTAATCTTTCTATGACATGCTGAATCAGAATTACACAGAAATAGGCAACAAGCGATATTCAAAGGTAGCAGTTGGAGCTGACTAAAGTCTCTGTGAGTTACATAGAGAATTCAAGTGCGTACTTGTAGTATACAAAAACTAAGTCGACTAATTGGATGGACCTCTAAAGAATAGATTTGAAAAGCAGCTGTTTACTGAGGACATTAGCATGAATGTATCTTTAAGATAAATAAAACAAAAGCTTATTACTTGGTTACTTTAGATTGGTACTCATTAGAATTTTAGCAAGAGATCAATGTTCCTTACTATTAAAGAAAATCAATCATTACAGCAATTAGTTATTCAATGTAAAGAATCTATGGGAATGATGAGGAGACAATTATTAAGGAAAGTATGAGAGCATTAATTATAGTTGCCACATTCTAAGGTATCATAAGATCAAAGCTAACCTAAGTATCGGACAGAGAGGACTGGTATTGGGAATACATTTATTAGAATCATCATTATAACATGCAAAGCCTGATTGAATACTAATAAGGAATATGGATGAGAGAGAAATTTTTGAAAAGATCAGAGAATTCAACCTAATCATCTATAGAGTTACTAAGCAAAGTAGTTTCAATTGAAGAAAAGATTGTACTAAATAGTATGCACAAGAAAAAATAATTTTCCTTATTAGTTGAGAATTTCTTCTCAATTGAAAACAACAAGGTATTGCTGTTGATATTTGCTGATTAGTTGAACGACTCAAAGAATATCATCAATCTTTGTAGAAGTAAAATCAATAATTAGAGAACTAAGAGACTTCTTGAGATAGATAAGAATCCTAATTATGCTGATGCACCTGCAAAACAAACTCTGGCAAGTGAGAACTTGATTCTGTAGAAATTCTCTGTTAAGTAATACATATCTTGAATCTTATGGTTGATATAG